AATCTCCCTTTTATCTCCACACCACCTGCAGGGGCAGAGCTGTGTGAGCAGCAGATGCTCCCTGCCACAAGCAGGGGATCATTCCAAACCCCTCCCTGCATTGTGAATTTGATTTTTTTCTATATTTTTTCCCTCCAAGAGCAGCCCTGGCAGGCTGTGGGATCCCAGAGCTCTGTGATTCACAGCAGGCTCGTGCTCTGCACAGCGTCAGGTGCCTCAAACTGCCAAATTCTCCAGTTTAAATTTTAATTAGTTTAAATTTAATCCCCTCCCAAATCAAGGCTTTGCTGCATGGGGGAAGCCAAGGCACTCAAACAAAACCCAGAACTTACCATCAAGCAGGTCCCTGATTTTGTCCAAATAGATCTCAAAGTAGGAAACCTAATTAAATAATCACAAACAGCACAGATGTAAACGTTGCTGATTTGATGCCTCGGTGTTTCCATCCCTGTCAAAGCACCAAACTAAAAATAAAACCCTGCCTCCCACACAGCTGGAGTTCATCTTTGATGGGAACACATTTGTGCCTTGAATGATTTACCAGCCATTGATCTTCCTCCATTTATCAATGGAAAATACACAAAAAAAACCTGCAGCCAAACCTTCTCTTCCTTTTTTTTTTTTATTTTTGTAACATAGCAAAATTGACAAAAAAATATCAAACCAACCCAGCTCCTGCTGTATCTGTGCAGCTGCAGGTTTGAGGGTTTTAAAAATTGTACATTGAATTTCACCCCCCAGAAAACAGAGAGCACCTTCACCATTCCATTTCCACAAAGCTCAGCACTGTACATTAAATTAAACTTTTAAATGAAGCACATGTGGTGCTTCTGCCTTGAATCAAATCCAAAGGAGAAAATGAAAATGAGCTTTGCTGTAACAAAGAGAGACAATTGTCTCCAAAAAAAAAAAAAAAAAAAAAAGGAAAAAAAAGAGAGGAGAATGATTGAATGAATGAGTTTTTTAATAAAAGGGGATTTGATTCACAGAAGGAAACAGAAATGTGTGAGGGGAGAAGGGCCTAACCCTTCTCTAATTAAGGTTTGTCCAGATTATTTAGCTGGGACACCACATGGCTGCATTGTGGGCATCAAGAAACCCCTGGCATTTCATAAAATGTCATTTTCTGTCATCTGAAAAATAATGTCTGGGCTTTTTATAGAGATGAGCTGAACTTTCCACATGAAACTGCTATTTAAACACAAACAGATTTTGAATTTTTACCTTTCCTTCCCCATTTAAAGCCAGCTGATTCCCACATCCCAGTTAGGCCACACTTAATATTTCCCACTGAAAACCCAACTCCTACCAGATTCTAAATGGATCCCCATTAGAGAGGGGGAGGGAAAAAATGCCATTAATTTTCAGATTTTCAACTATTCCACGGTTATATAATCCAAGATGATTAAAATAATCATAATAATTTATAGACAGACTTTTCCATCCTCACACTGATTAACTTTAACAAATAATTGTGTCCTCATATTGATTAACTGTTACAAATAATTGTGTCCTCACACTGATTTTTACAAATAATTGTGTTCTCACACTAACTTTTACAAATAATTGTGTGCTCACACTGATCAACTTTTACAAATAATTATGTCTTCATGCTGATTGACTTTTACAAATAATGCTGTCATTACACTGATTAACTGTTACAAATAATTGTGTTCTCACACTGATTAACTTCTTCAAATAATTGTGCCCTCACACTGATGAACTTTTACAAATAATTGTGTCCTCATATTGATTAACTGTTACAAATAATTATGTCCTCACACTGATGAACTTTTGCAAATAATTCTGTCGTTACACTGATTAACTTTTACAAATAATTGTGTCCTCACACTGATGAACTTTTAGAAATAATTGTGTCCTCACACTGATTAACTTTTAGAAATAATTGTGTCCTCATATTGATTAACTTTTACAAATAATTGTGCCCTCACACTGATGAACTTTTACAAATAATTGTGCCCTCACACTGATGAACTTTTACAAATAATTGTGTCTTCATGTTGATTAACTTTTACAAATAATTCTGTCATTACACTGATGAACTTTTACAAATAATTGTGTTCTCACACTGATGAACTTCTGCAAATAATTCTGTCATTACACTGATGANCAAATAATTCTGTCATTACACTGATGAACTTTTACAAATAATTGTCTTCATGTTGATTAACTTTTACAAATAATTGTGTCTTCATGTTGATTAACTTTTACAAATAATGCTGTCATTACACTGATGAACTTTTGCAAATAATTGTGTTCTCACAGTGATTAACTTTTACAAATAATTGTGTCTTCATGTTGATTAACTTTTACAAATAATTGTCATTACACTGATGAACTTTTACAAATAATTGTGTCCTCACACTGATGAACTTTTGCAAATAATTCTGTCGTTACACTGATGAACTTTTACAAATAATTGTGTCCTCACACGAACTTTTACAAATAATTGTGTGCTCACACTGATTAACTTTTACAAATAATTCTGTCATTACACTGATGAACTTTTACAAATAATTGTGTCCTCATATTGATTAACTGTTACAAATAATTGTGCCCTCACACTGATGAACTTTAACAAATAACTATGTCTTCATGCTGATGAACTTTTGCAAATAATTGTGTCCTCACACTGATGAACTTTTACAAATAATTGTGTTCTCACACTGATCAACTTTTAGAAATAATTCTGTCTTCATGCTGATTAACTTTTACAAATAATGCTGTCATTACACTGATGAACTTTTGCAAATAATTGTGTCCTCACACTGATTAACTTTTAGAAATAATTCTGTCCTCCCACTGATGAACTTTTACAAATAATTGTGTC